GCTGCTTTCAGCCTTATCTGTTTATTTTGGAAGGTGGGACATAACATATATATATATTTGTTTTTGATTGAATAGTATATTAAGATATTAATATTCAGTGAGAAAGAATATAATCAGCTGGTTGATTTGATTATTGTATTATATGTGTATTATATGTGTATACTGTATTAATGAATTTGGATTTTTTGGGAGGGGTTCTTGAACACTGATTAAGAAGTGACACCTATATTATAGAAAATTTGAACATAGAAGAGACAGAGAAACGAGATTATTTATAAAAATAGAGAATTGTGTATGGAAATCCAAGTTAAGCACAGATTAAAATAAAAAGAACATCAGATTAAATTACTGGATGGTAATCTGGGACAACGTATATAAAATTCTAAAAGAACAGAATAGAATCTTAAAAGAAATGACAAGCATTACAACAACATTAAAGACTGGAAAAAAAACAGCATCAAATCCATTGGTGTTGATTGCTTCTCCATCGAATCAATGGTCAATTGAAGGGATGCTTAGTGCAGAAAAACCAAATATTACATCAAATATGCAAACCATGCAAACAACTCTTCTAGCAATCTAGGAGACATTGATAAAACTCCAAGAAACAATGTCTAAGAATCACAGTGAAATGAAATTGGAGATGGGTGAAATGAAAAGTGACATACATAAATTAGATGGGCACAATTCAGCAAGCAATAGAAAAAAATGAACAAAAAATAAAACCAGTGAAAATGAGAGTGGAACAAACAGAAAAGAAACTGGAGCTGGTAGATCAAAAGATGATGGTGACAAATAACGATTTAGAAGACTCACTCATACGTTTGGAGATGCAGCATTTTATTTAAGATTCCAAAATGTCATAGAGCAGTGGTTGCCAACCGGTGGTCCGCGAGAAAATTTTGGTGGTCTGCAGAGAAATGCCACCACAAAGCACCCTCCCAAAGTAATTAATCCAGGCTGGGGAACACAAGGTTGTGCCGCCCACATAGCCTGGGAACACAAGGCTTGCATCACTTACATTAGGAACAAAACGAGGTAGTGAGGGGAGCGGGGAAAGGGGGGAGGGGAGAACTTGCCTGGCCACTGGGTTGCTTCTTTCCACTTCTTTCATCTTTTGCTTTTGGCTGCACACAAGGAAAGCAGCAAAAGTCTTTCTTTCTATCTCCCAAACTCTGCCAGAAATGAGTCTTTGCAGCCTCTTGGAGCAGGATGCCTTGCAGGGTTCCAAAGACTCATTTCTGGCAGAGTTTGGGGGATAGAAAGAAAGACTTTTGCTGCTTTCCTTGTGTGCAGCCTGAAAATGGAACTCAAATCAAGCTAGGAATGGGGCTGCCTTGGAGGGGGTGGGTGGGTGTGTGTGTGAGAGAGAAAGAAAATCACCAGCCCTCAGGTTAGATCGATTTCCCTCCCCCCTACCTCTAAGAACAGAGCTCAAAGCAGGCTAGGAATGCCACCCCAAAGCACGCCCCAAAGCAATTATTTCAGGCTGCAGGGGGAAAAGGCTGTGCCACCCACATGGCCCGGGAACACAAGGCTTGCATCGCTTACATTAGGAACAACACGAGGTAGTGAGGGGAGGGAAAGGAGGAGTGGGGAACTTGCCTGGCCACTGGGTTGCTTCTTTCTGCTTCTTTCGTCTTCTGCTTTTGGCTGCATGCAAGGAAAGCAGCAAAAGTATTTCTTTCTATCCCCCAAACTCTGCCAGAAATGAGTCTTTGGGACCCTGCAAGGCATCCTGCTCCAAGAGGCTGCAAAGACTCATTTCTGGTGGAGTTTGGGGGAGAGAAAGAAAGGCTTCTGTTGCTTTCCTTGTGTGCAGCCTGAGAACGGATCTCAAAGCAGGCTAGGAATGGGGCTGCCTTGGAGTGGGTGGGGGTGTGTGAGGGAGAGAGAAAATCACCAGCCCTCAGGTTAGATTGATCCCCCCCCTCCCTCTAAGAACGGAGCTCAGAGCAGGCTAGGAATGGGGCTGCCTTGGGAGGGTGTGTGTGTGTGTGAGGGATCTGTGTGTGTGTGAGAGAGAGAGAAAGAGCAATCCATCTCTGCTGGGGAATTAAATCCCCAGGGGGTGGGAATTTGCATGTCTCTGTATCTTTTCTTTCCAGCCTCAAGGTGGGGGTGGGGGTGGAAGGAAGAGAGAGAGAGAGAGAGAGAGGAGGGAGCGATCCATTGCTTCTGGGAAATTAAATTCACAGGGGGCGGAGGAATTTGCATGGCTTGACTGCTACAGAGTGACCTATATCAGGTAAATGTTAGATAGTACTGTGCATTCAAATGTTTGTCCTGTAATGACTGGAATGAAAATGGAGTGGAAATGGGTATTTTGTGCTTGCTGACAAACTTTCATCAGTGTGAAAGTATAGGGAAAAAAATGCTAGTTACACATTACTCTTAACAAAGACAAAACACCAGGACTTTGGACTTTGGATCCCCCCAAACCCAAAGGATGAGAGAAGCCCTTCCTTTCCCTTCACTCTGCCCCACAATTCTCATTTATGTTTATGTTTAATATAACAAATATTTTTTTTATATTAAATATATTATCTTTTTAAGAAAAGTCATATTAGTGGGCCTCAGGATTTAAAAGTATGAGTTTGGTGGTCCCTGAAGTCCAAAAGGTTGGTGACCCCTGTCATAGAGACTAAAGAAGGTGATTTAGGAATGATAATGGCAGAACTGATAGCGGAAGCTCTGCAAAGAGACAAACAGGAAATCCTGAATGAATTGGACGGAGTATATAGAATCCACACAAATTACACCAGAAGGCACAGATTGCCAAGAGAAGTACACATCAGGTTTGCACACAAAAAAGTAAGAGACATAATTTACAAGATAAGGAGAGATGAACCGATGATCTACAAAGAGAAAGAAATACAAACACTGAAGCAGATCCCAAGAAGGGTGAGAGAGCAGAGAAGGGACTACCACTTTTTGGCAACACAATTGACCAAACGGAATATATTGTTCAGGTGGTTAGCATCAGAAGGAATGCTGGTTTCTTGGCAGGAGAAGAAGATTAAAGTCAACAATTTAGACAAGGCACAGGAACTAAACTATCAACTTGTGGGGATGGAGGAAGAACATAGCAGCAGAGAAGAATTAGACTCCAAAAGCCAAGAAGAGCAACAACGTGTAATAAAAGAATTAGAGCAGACTTCTGGTTTGTTCCTCATCGGAGTCGGAGCGGAATCCGCAATCATGCATGGTTTCGCCCAAGCTCACTTGCTGGAGGGTCCCGATCAGGACCAGAACCACCCTTGTGGGGTAGTGAAGAAGTGGGAAATTACCTGGAGGGTTGAGGGGAGTTGCAACTCCCTTCCCTGACAGGAAAATCCCTCCCAAAGGCAAGCTGCAGCAGTGGTCCTAAAATGGCCGCCACGAAGACAAAGAACACTCTGGGAAACTAAGTTTTGTGCTGGAGCAGAGAAGTAGCGAGCAGTGTGAACCAGGCAAAGGACATAGCTTTTGAGGTACCCCAGTATTAAAATAAAGGGCTATCTTGGAGGGAAGTGTGTGAAAGCGGCGCCCAGAGAAAGTGAGAAAGAAATTGGATCTTATAAAACTTGGATTGGATTAATTTGGAGGAAAAAATTTAAAGGAAAATACTTTAACACAACAAAGATTTAGAAATTAAACCGGATAGAGCTTCCGGTGGCAGGACAGGGCGAACGGAGGTGAAGAAGACTGTTGCAGTCTTTGAACACCTTTTCTGGCGTCAGGAGCGATCCCCCAGGGATAAACGAACCCCGGAGAGGTTCGTGTCAACGTGGAGAACCTCGAGCGGTAGAGTGGGGAAGGCAACCCCCCGACAGCGAAGAGGGAAGCTCCCGAGCCTGGCGCAAAAGAGTAAGCTGTCATTCTATGGTGGCTTCAAGTCCGGTCTGCCACTTGGGTGAATAAGCAAAGCAGTGACAGCCTGCGAGGTTGAGAGTAACAGGAACAGAGAAACGGTTTATAACTTGGAACCTTTGAAGACTGAAGATAGCAGAATGACAGAAGAATGACAGCGTAAATTCTTCTCTCCTGGTTGTGATTAGCACCTTTCAGAAGTTGGGCGGAAAGCGGCCAGAAAAGCAGTTGGGAAAATGAAAGGACTATAATGAAGAGCGGAAAAGCCTAAGCACAAAAGTGAAAGCGCAGATTTTACCCTTTGAAAGGGAAGCTCTGGGGAAAGAGGGAGATTGTTAAAACCAGGAGATTGGAGGTCCGGAATTGGTGAGGGGCTTCATCTGATTTTTGGACCTTTCTTTTTGACTTTACTTGAGAAAAGGGAGGTGACGGAGGTGAAAGAATACTGGCATTGATCGAGTCTGATGAATCCTCAGATCTGAGCACAACACAACTACCACATTTATTTAATATTGTGGAGAAGACAAACTAAGCATTATATTGGACTTTGGAAAATTTGTATGTTGATTTAAAAGTTGGAAAGCAAAGAAAGAAGAAGAAGCAAGAGGAAGAAGGCAGAGACAAAGAGAAGGCTGGGAAAGACAGTTTTGGGACTGCAGATTAGTCAGCACATTACACCATTTGCTGATTGGAATGCTGAAAAGAATCCTCTAGCTGGAAGATGGACTTTTAGCTCACCCAACTTGCTTTATTACGTGGTACTACTTAATATTACTAGTTTGGCACTACTTTCTCCTTAAGATGACTTCCTTGCTTTTTGTTTGTTGATTCTCTGAAGCTGTGGTAATCTCTCTCCTACCCTTTCTCTTATTGTTTTGCCCCCTATTGAATCTCCTAAATAGCTTACATAATTCTACTTATTTGGGGGGAAAAAAAGAAAGAGGGGGGTATACTATTATTATAGAGTTAAGAGATCACTGTTGTAAGTATTAATAGTAAAGAGGGATAAACTCCGTTGATATAAACTATTTATAAATTATTTAGACTGCTTAAGACATTTAAGATTAATTCCTTAAAGTGTTAATTGATGTACTATTGCTGACCAATTTTCTTATTACATAGACTAGAATACTGTAGTAGATATCTATTTATGATATAGGGGAAAAGACTGTGGAGTGAGATATTAAATTGAAATATGTGAATAGACTTTCAAATACAAGACCCAAACACTGAATGGTGATTTGGGATAATATATCTAAAATTGTGCATCAACAAAAACAAATACTTAGAGAATGACATCCACGACAACTATGGCCTTAAAAACAGGAAGGAAGGCTACCCCGACCCTATCAACTATGTTGACACCTACCCCACCAACAACTCAAAAAACTATTGAGGAGTCCTTAACAGGGGAAAAGCAGCCTAATGTCCCCAACATTAATATACAAACTTCCTTATTATCCTTGCAGGAAGCTATATCTAAAATGCAAGAAAGGATGATTAAAAATCACAATGAAACTAGAGCAGATATAAGCGAATTGAAAGATGAGATGGGGAAACTGAAGGCTGAAATGAAAGCGGATATATCAAAGGTGGAGGGTAAGATAGAGTCTCTACAGCAGGCCATGGAGAAAAATGAAGTGAAAATAAAAGATATAGAGTGTAGAACAACACGCATGGAGACTAACTTTGAAAGGATGGATGAGGAATTTAAAAATATACTTAGAGAAACGGAAGACTCACTGGTTCACCTCGAGATGGACAAAGCAATGGCGTATTTAAGGTTCCAGAATGTGGCTGAAGCAAAAAATAAAGAATTGGAACATTTGATGGCAGAAATATTGGCTGAATGGTTAGGAAAAGAAAAAGATGACCTAATTAAAGAGTTTGATGAGGTATATAGGGTTAGCACAAGCTACGCCAGACGCAACAACTGCCCAAGAGAAATTCATATCCGCTTCTCTAGGAGATGTCTGAGAGATTTAATTTTGAAAATGTCTAGGGAGGAAATGATATCATATAAAGGCAGAGAAATTATGATTTTAAAACAAATTCCAAAGAAAGTGAGGACGATAAGACAAGATTATAAATTTTTAGCTAATGATTTAAATAAAAAAGGAATCCAATTTAAATGGTTAATCCCGGAAGGGATGTTAATTACGTGGAAAGAGAGGAAAATCAAAATAGAATCGATAGAACAGGCCCAAGACTTTTATCAATGGCTCATGGATACGGATGGTCAATCCACTAAAGAAGAACTTAAAAGGAGACCACAGGAGGACCGATATCGTCACAGAACCCAAAAGGAACGACTTTCTCCAATTTCAGGAAGTGATAAACCACAACCTGGGAGAGAAGAGCAAATCCCACAACAACAAGAAGAGAATCGAATCATTACTAGGCAAAAATCTAAGCAGACGTAGATAAATGGTGGAGGGGAAGAAGTTGCTCTCCTTCAATATAAATGGATTAAATTCAATATCAAAAAGAAAAAGGATATTTTCAAAACTTATTTGACATAACGCAGATATAATATGTCTTCAAGAAACATATATTTCGAAAAATGATGAAAGACATCTAATTTGTCCAAAATTAGGGAAACTTTTTACGGCACTGGCCGATAAACACAAGAAAAAAGGAATTGCAATTTACATAAAACAAGATGTAAAGGCAGAATTAACCTGGTCGGATCCTGAAGGAAGAACTCTGGTTATACAAGTTTGGATAAACCACATCACATTTTTACTTGTAGCAATCTATGCCCCAAATGAAGACCAAGGGAAATTTTTTAAACACCTCCACCAAAAAATAGTAGGCTTCGAAAAAAGGAACATTTGCTTGATTGGCGATTTTAACTCCATTGCAGACTACCAAAAAGACCATAGTAATATGGGAAAAAACAAGAAGGGGAAAAGGGAACTTTCTGCGGCATGTAAGGAAATGATGAAAGAGTTAAATTTAAAAGATTTATGGAGGGAACGGAACCTTGAAGAGAAACAATTTACATACTATTCCAATCCACATAAGACTTGGACTAGAATAGATATGGCTTGGATGGATTTGGATTTGGCTAATGAAATAAAAGAAATTAAAATCCTACCAAATGAATGGGCAGACCACAACCCAATACAGCTAATTTGGAGAGACAGGAGAGGAATAAAAAAAAGATGGACACTAAATACCCAAATAGTAAATGAAGAAGAGTATATCAATAAGCTGAAAGAGGAGCTAAACTATTTCCTAAAAGATAATAATAATGAAACAACTTCAAAACAGAATATTTGGGATACTATGAAAGCAATTATAAGAGGTACAACAATTTCCTATAATGCTATGAGAAACAAGAGAACTTATGCCCGACAAAACGTATTACAACAACAAATCAAAGACTTAGAAATACAATTACAAAAAACCCCTAAGATCCAAGGAATACAAAACCAGTTAATATTAGCCAAACATAAGCTGAATTTAATTGAACAAGATAAAAATAGAAGTTAGTTTGAGACGGTCCAAACAAGATTATTTTGAACACGCTAATAAACCAGGAAGATGGCTATCTTATAAACTTAAAAAAGAAAAAGAAAAGAGACTGATACACCAACTAATAGACGAGAAAGGCATACCACAACATGAGACTGAGAAGAAAAAAGATATTATATTAAACTATTTTCAAAGATTATATAAAAAAGAAGAAATCAATGAAGACAAAATAAGAACTTATCTGGAGAATACGAATGATAAAACAATAGGGGAAGGAGAGAAAGAATTATTAAATAAGGATATTACATGGTCTGAGTTGAAATCTGCAATGGAGAACCAAAGTAATAATAAATCCCCTGGTCCAGATGGGATTCCAGTAGAATTGTACAAAGCTACAATAGAGTTAGTAGGGCCACTGATGCTGGAAGTGTTTAATGAAGTACTTTTGGCAGCCAAAATGCCAGACTCATGGAGGGGGGCGTTGTTTTCGTTAATTCCGAAGGAGGATGTAGGTGCCAGATATATCAACAATTATAGACCAATTTCACTTTTAAACGCTGATTATAAATTATTTACCTCAATTATAGCGAATAGAGTAAAACAAGTTTTAAATTTATACATTCATGAAGATCAAAATGGTTTCCTTCCGTCCCGCCAAATCAAAAATAATCTAAGAACCGTTATTGATGTCTTAGAATATTATGAAGTTCATCCAGAGAAACAATTTGCACTCATGTTTTTAGATGCGGAGAAAGCATTTGATAATCTACATTGGCACTTTTTAATACAAAAAATCTATAACATGAGTCTGGGCACTAAATTCGAGAACATTATCACAACAATTTACAACACCCAACAGGCCAACATACTAATTAATGGTGAACAAACAGGCCCATTAAACATTGAAAAGGGCGTTAGACAGGGTTGCCCCCTCTCACCCCTCCTATTTATACTTGCTTTAGAATCACTGTTAATGTGGATAAGACAAAACTCTGAAATCCAAGGAGTCAAAGCAGAGGAATATAAACTACAGGCGTTTGCAGACGATATGGTTTTCTTCCTAGAGGAACCCATGGAAAAAGGACAGTAGCAGGATTAAAGATCAATAGAAATAAGACAAAATTAATGACTAAAAATCTAACAGAGAATCAGAGGAAAGAATTAGAAAAAATCATAGGGATACAGGCAAC